GGCAACCACCGATTCACTTTTTCTCTCTATGGATTCCCCTGTTCTATACATTTCGTATCAATGGAATTACACAACACGTGGTCCTGCCTGGCTTCTTTCCTATGGCATGTTTTCTAGTTCATCCAGCTCTTAACTAAAGGTTTTCCTGCCTTTCATGATTAGACATATAAATCCTTAAGAAAATGAGGTGGGCTTCCAGTCTACAGGACTTTAGATAAACATAATAAGAAAACCATCAAATTATTAATTATCTTCTGGATTTTTCTGCCTTCTAAGTTCTGATTTCTTAGTAGGCTTTTGTTTTTTAAAGTGAGAGATGTCTGCACAGGGAGAGCAGACAGGGGTCCATTGACTGGTACGGGAAGCAGGGTTTAGGCCGAACTAAAAACCTACTGAATCAAGTCAAGGTCATTCCCCTCATTTGTCAGATGAGGAAACTGACCACCAAAGAGATGGACAGGCCCAGGTCACACGGTAGCAGGTGGGCTGAAATTGTATGTGGTAGGCCTGGAGGTACCAAGTGTGACCAGGGCACAAACCATCATTCCCTTTTGCTGGGCCAGGGGCTGCTCAGAAGGACTTTCAAGGGGCTGGGGGAGCACAGGACGTTTTGATGCACCCAGGCAGTGGGGAACATTCCTGGGAGCCAGGCCTCAGGATGGAGGCCCTGAACCAGTACGTTGCCTCCCTGGAGCCTCTAGATTGGCTCCACTGCTTGTTAGCTGGTCTCTTGAGCCTCCCTGGGGAGCAGCTGGGGCCTCAGGGTATTTTCCTCAAGCTGTGCCCAAAGTGCCTCCAGGGACCAGCAGAACAACACTAGAAGGCCCCGGCTTATCCAAGATAACCCGAGCGGCCTCTGTGGTCCCTTGTGGAGTAAGCCTAGAAGGGCGCTGCAGATAGTGCTTGACTGCCATCATGGGAGGAGCCTTCTCGGTCTCTCTTGGTCTGGACAGGCCAATCTTGGGCTACCCACGGTGCTGCAGTCATTGCCTGGTGGCGTCTGGAAAAGCTGGAGCCCAAGCTTTCCCTCTTTCAGGAAGTAGTTCCAGAAGTCAGGACTTTTGCACACGTGACTGGGAATCCTCCAGGCTCTAAGGGATTCAGGTTACCTCTCCCACCCCCACCCCACCAAAAAAGCTGTCCCTTCTCCAGAGAAAAAGCACTGAGGTTCCCAGGAAGCCCTTCAGTGTCTTGGATGAGTACAACCCTTTGGGGGTGAGCAGGAATTGCTGAGGCTTTGAAAGCGTGTGTTCACAGAAGTCACATCAAAGTCATTTATTCCCTCATCTGTCAAATGTCTGGCGGGAAGGGCCCTTAGAAATATTACTGGGTTATTCAGGGCTGGACTGGGAAATGAAGGCCCAGGGCTTGTCTGAGGGCCTTTCAGGAAGTGAGCGTTCCCCAAGGTGTGTGGACCCCTGTCAGAGGGCCCCTCCCAGAGGCTCAGAGAGGCAAGTCCCTTGCCTTAAGGCCCAGGGCTTGTCTGAGGGCCTTTCAGGAAGTGAGCGTTCCCCAAGGTGTGTGGACCCGTCAGAGGGCCCCTCCCAGAGGCTCAGAAAGGCAAGTCCCTTGCCTCGAGGCAAGTCCCTTGCCTTTTAGTGAAAGGCAGGACCTGAGTTGTCTGGGGAGGGTGGGGCTGAAGGACTGTGTGAGCCTGAGGTTCAGGTCCACAGCAGGGCCAGTGTGTCCTGAGGGCTCCAGTTTGCTGCCTATAGGGTCCAGGCAGGGAAGGAAAAAGGGGTGGGTTGGGCAGCCACGGAAAGCGCTTGTAAAAGGGAGTAGCTGCTACTCACCCTCAGTGCATGTCGCCCAGTCTTCCAAAGTGTTTTCCAAAAGGAAACCCAGAACCCAGCCTTGAGGGTGAAATCGACCAATCTTAAACAGTTGACCACTAGTGCAGTAGAGTTTTAGTACACAGTGGGGGCCAAACAAAAAAGTGTGAGGGGGCCAGTGTGGTCTGAAGGCTCCCAGTTTGCAACCTCTGGTCTGCATGACTGATGCCCCGAGTTCCTGGCAAACTCCTACACATTCCTCAAGACCACATCTGCCATAGCATCTTCCCTGATTCTCTCCGGTTAGACTTGATGTCACTGCACCTCTTTTATTGTGTTACCTTGTAAGTTTCTATTTATGCGTATCTTCTCTTCACCCCCACCCATCTGACTCTGTTCCCAGTGCTCAGCTCAGCGACCCAGCAAGGCACAAAGTTAATTGCCCAATAAATAGTTGATAAATATTAGACACCCAAGGTTGCTGCATGGGAAACCTGAGCAGAGGAAGAGAAGGGAACTGCATTAATGAATGCCTGCTGTATACCAGTCACTTGCTACATGTGGTCATGGGGAGAGGACATTGTCTGAGTATGTGGCTGGCAGGTGGTTTCAGGAGCAGCCCTGGAGGCTCTGCAGAGGAAGTCAGACACTGAAGGCGTACCCTGAGGACACAGCTCACCTGAAGCTGTGAGATGAGCAGATATCTAGAATACTTCCTTGGGAAGTTAAAGCCTCCAGCATTTCCTCCCTTAGTTCTCAGGCAGGAAGAGGCCCCACACAGTTGCCCAGGTGGCCTAGGGGGTTGGCGTGTGTCAGGTTTCCAGTTCTTGCTGTATCAAGGCACCTCCCCTGCTGCCCACTGCTCTGTGCTGACTCTGATCCCAAGGGTGGGTGAGGTCAGAACCACTCCCCCCACCCAGGACTGCCATGTACCTCTTCTGTCACCTAATCTGCCCTGGTGGGTAGTGTCTCCTTTTAAGTGTCTTCTCCTAAACAGCTCATCCAGGATTCTCCCAGGATATGAAGCATCTCGATTCTGCCTTCTGGAGTCCTTCAGCCTGCAGGCCTTCTGGTGCCATCCAGGCTGGGGTCCCCTTCTCCCTGTGCTATTAGGGGTTCTTGAGGTGGGGTGGAGTGTCTATTTCCATCCCCCTTTTCCCTGTTCCAGAACTTTTCTATAGTTGTCCTGACTTTTTCCCACTCCTTCTAGTCAATCCTGGGACACTGGTGGCTCAAGGGTGTTTGGGACACTGCACTACCTTGAGAGGATGGGCCACCTGTAGATTTGGCCAGCTGACTTGGGGGCAGCTGGCAAAAACTTCCTTGCTATCAAAAAAATAGAAAATAACAAGTGTTGGCAAGAATGTAGAGAAATTGGAATCCTTGTGCATTGCTGATGGGAATGTAAAATAGGGCAGCTGCTGTGGACAACAGTTTGACAACTCCTTAAAAAGTTGAAAACCGGTGATCAAATAAATACTTGCACATGAAGGTTCTTAGGAGCACTATTCACAATAGCCAAAAGGTGGAAACAACCCACATGTCCATCAACTGAAGAATGGATAAACAAACTGTGATCTATCCATACGATGGGATATTATCCAACCATAAAAAGGAATGGAGCACTGACACATGCTACAACATGCATGCACCTTGAAAACAGGATGCTCAGTGAAAGAAGCCAGACACATAAGGCCACATATTAAATGACTCCCTTTATAGGAAATGTCCAGAATAAGCAAATCCATAAAGGCAGGACACAGTTGGTGGTTTCCAGGGACTGGGGTAAGGGGGAATGGCAAGTGACTGCTTAATGGGTATAGGGTTTCCTTTGTGATTGATGAAAAAGTTCTGGAAATAGACAAGGTGGTGGTTGCACAACATTGTGAATGTCCTAAATGCCACTAAATCGCACACTTTAAAAAGTTAAAATAGTAGGCCCGGTGGCGCACTGCGCTAGTGCGCCACTTGGGAAGCGCGGCGGCGCTCCCGCCGAGGGTTCGGATCCCACATACAGACCAGTTCCCGCTCACTGGCTGAGCGAGGCGCGGGGGCAACGCCGAGGGTTGCGATCCCGTTGCCGGTCCCGGTCCGGTGCGGGGGCGACACTGAGGGTTGCGATCCATTGCCGGACACGGAAAAAGACAAAAAAAAAAAAAAAAAAAAAAAAAAAAAAAA